CAGTCCGAATGGCATCCTTTGGAATTCAGAATAGGCCGAAAGGCGTGCAGAAAGCGGTTTTCATCCTGTCTCCTTCTGTCACAGCAACTTGATGATATCCACTAGCCAGATCAATAGTGGAAAACCACTGTGCCCCTGAGAGGGAGTCAAGGGATTCCTCGATCCTAGGGAGTGGGAAAGCGTCCCTCCGAGTTTTGCTGTTCAATAGCCTATAGTCGACACATAGTCTCAAACTGCCATCCTTCTTCCGGACAATGACTATTGGAGAGGCGTAGGGGCTACAGCTTTCTCGAATGACTTGGCTGTCCAGCAGCTTGCGTATATGGGCTCTGACTTCCTCATATTCTGATGGAGGGATACGCCTATATCGCTGTCTGATTGGTACGTCATCTACAAGAGGAATGTCATGAGTTATTAATGAGGTACAACCTAGGTCTAGATCAGATGCTGCAAATACTGCTTCATGTTTTAGGAGCAGCGCACGAACCTTCTGTTGGTCAGGCTCGGACAGCGAGGAAAGGTCCAATGAATCAATTTGCTCTCTAACAGAACTAGGCCTTGTGGTTTGAGAGTTTACCCTAACTCCCTCCCCCTGCGCTTGCTGCCTATTAAACGAGACACCCTCTGGTAGGCTAACCACCTCTGCCTGGCTAAGCACAGCGACAGGGTGATGAGGATACAAGGCAACCCCACTCTGACCCACATTAACAATAGGGATGTGTACAGTACCTTTCTGGACTGTGACCATGGCTGGGGAGACCAACAAGCCCTCAGGAAGGGGGTAGCTCTCAGTCACTGGCTCGGCCAAAACAGTACCTGTGGACTGGCTGAAATGAGCAGAGCAAGTTGCAGCAATCCATTTCATTGACCCTCCTGGAATTATGACAGGGCGCCTACCTCTCACACGTGCAAGGCCGTTCCTAGGTGAATCACACAGCTCTGTCTGATGGCAGTGACGTAAGGCCTGCTGCCATGCTACTGAAACCTGCTGTACCTCAGGGAGATTAAACAGGTCAACACCATGTTCACCAAACAACTGGTGGTAGCACTCCTTTATCACGTTCATTCCTAGCACTCCCCTAACCCCCTGTGGCCCTGGAGGATCTTTAACAACCAGAATTCCCTTTGAAATGCTTATCAAAAAAACTCTCTGGTATTGTGGTGACCATGGACCCGGTATCCAAAAGTAGCTTAGCAGTTACCCCCCCCAAACTGACTGCTACCTCTGGGCATGGAGCAATGAGGCTCTCTGCCATGTGGTGGGGGTCTGGTTTGGAAGACTGTGAGCCCTCATCTTCCCCTCCTGATGCTTGGCTCCTCGCATCAGGGGGTTTTAGTTTCCCGCCTCCTGCATGTCAGAGGTTGCAGCGGCCACCTGTGACAACCGGCTCTGGATGATAACCCTCTCATTATCACATTCTCTGGCTATATGGCCCGGTTTTTGACAGCAAAGGCAAATCACTGTGCGAGACCTAACATTTCCTGCTACGGGTTGGGAGCCCCCCTGCAATGCTAATAGACCCTGGGTTAATTTATCCAACTGCTCCTGCTGCTTTACTAGGAGTTGCCGTAGTTCTGCTAACTCCGAATGTGATGTTAGACTAGGAGGGCGAGGGCGGGTATAGTGAACTGCACTCAGTGATGGGACCGAATAGCTCCTCCCCCTGGGTTCATCCGGCCTACCCTCACGTTCCCAACGTATGGCCTCAGCCCTGATCTCTATAAGAGTGCACTGTGGGAGTTCTCTTGCTAACCTCTTTAACTCCCTGCGCAGGTGGGGGTCTAACACATGCTCGACAAACTGATCTCTTAAGAGGATAGGGGCATCCGGCATTTTTCTAGGGGCACTGCGCTCGACCTTCTCCATCAGACAGCATAATGCATGTGAGAACTCCTGCAAAGACTCTCCTTCCTGTTGTTTCCTGGAAAAAAAACACTGTTGCAAGGAAACATAAGAACGAGCACAACCATACAATTCCTGCAAAATTGACAGAATTTTCTCAGGGTCCTCCCGCTCTGCTCTCGTCCTGTAGCGAACTTCATCCTTCCCCTCACCCTCCAAATGATCAACAATAAAGTAGGCTTGATCTACTGAGTTTAGGCGCCTTGTCCTCAATGTGGCCCTCATCTCGTCCACCCAATCTTCAATTGGTATGCCTGATGTCCCCCTAAAGGGCAGACACCTGCGCTCCCTAGGAATATAAAACAAACGTTCCACAGGTGCAGAGTCATTAACACTTGAAGGGCTCGTCGAACCAGAGCTCCCAGCATTGGTTGCAGCTGCCTGTAGTCGCCCATTCTCAGCCCGGAGCTGCTGGACCAAATCTCTGAGCTCCTGCTCATTAGCCATGGAGACAAGGTACAAGGGTGCAGTATAGACTTTGTAGAGCAGAGGGCCGGTCCAGTCGTAGGAGAATTTGCTGGTTCTTCCAAGGCCAATGTCGTCTCATTTGGGTCTAATGAATAAAATAAATCTATAAACTCAGTTTAACCATCACTGCAACCCTGCCGAGCAACGCCAGATTGTAACCGAGGGAGAGCCTAATTGAGCAGTGATTTATTGTACACAGGTAAGGGTGCAGTGAATAGTCAAACAGAGACACATACCATAACCGTTGTGAAAGATTTATTTTTCATTTACTAAAAGGGAAAAAAACACGTTAACAGAAATGTATGAAAAGGTTATGTTTATTGGGGGCTATGTTAAAATGCTAGTTCTAATAAATAGCAGTGGTAAACTTGAACAAATGCTTTTAAGAGTGGCCAGGACTAGACGGCCGCGGGTGCACGCGGTCAGAGGGCAAATATGTAAATGGCACAGAGTACACACTACACACCGTGCAGTCACACACACACACACACACACACACACACACACTAAACCAAATCTAGGATATCTAAAACATGCAGTGAGGGTGAGTGCGAAAAATACCACAGCACACGAGGGGAGTGATGGTTGCAGCAGTGTGAGACTCTATCACCAAACCTCCACCAGGCAGGCACCCACGCTCGAACCAGTCCTGGAGCACAGGGAGAACAGTGTCAAATCGTACCGTACACCGGTCTTAGTAAATACCCAAAATAAAGAGAGAATCAACTCAAAATCAAATGTAAGGGGTACAGACTCGTCCCGGCGGTACCTGACTAAATAACCCTATCATTAGACCCAAATAAAACCGACATGTAGCCTGCTGACTCTAGAAAAGAAACAAACAAATTAATATCTACATGCGATCTCCAATTTAACCCTTATAAAATAAGTCTAAATACCTAGGGCTTAAAACAGTCTGAGCTGGTAGAAAAAGATGCCCTCCCAGGCTGACGCACCCCGGACAGGTTAATGGGGTCACTTGATGGTGTCTAAAAACACAAACAGAATGACATTTACCAGCTAGAATGCGAACACAAACAAACAACAACCTACCCGGCCTACAGCTTCTAGCTGTGAGAGAAACGGGACCGGAGCGGATAAAGTTGGTGATCGGGAGGGCAGCCTACCCGTGCATCGCGTCTAGCCTGCTTAAATATGCTAGGAAATAACTGAGGACTGCGGAAGTGCGGGTTGCCGGCTACGAATTACGTAATACAGTGGCCCAATTGGGACAAACAACCAACGGTTACACGAGCAATGAACCGGAAGTGCTTCTGGGACGAGACTTTCCAGCCCTATAGTGGTAACGGACGTTCGCCTATTTCTTTTTAACCCGGCCACATATCTCTTTGGTATGGAAGCCCGTTTCCGCCATGTAAAAACATAAGAAGTTCGGTAATTATGGTTTTTAAAACTGAAATTGACGATGTTTTTAAACTCTAAATTTTGACTTTAAAACTCGTACTTTAGAGTTCAAAACTGGTGACATCTGATGTCATGGCTATCGATGAATGCAGCAGAAATTATGTGAATAATATTGTGACTGACAGAGAGACCGTTCGCATATTAACCGAGGGAGTGGATCTCCGCAGACAGAGGCACGTGTACCACACCCGCGGGCCACAGTATTATACATCGATGGCTGTTACAAGATTGAACTTTTTGAAATTGCAATTAGTGCATCTACAACCAAAAGCTGTTGTAAGATGCGTCTTTGCTCAAAGTGCAGCGGTTCAGTATGTGACGTACGTGTGTGCGTGCGCGCGCATGGCCGACACATGAGTGCGCTCTGGAGTAACCTCATGGAGCGGGCGTGTGGAAACAGGGAATAAGTGTCTTGTCTGATGATTTTACTGTGACAAAATAAGGCCCAGAATCTTAAAGCAGCAATCCGCAAAAAATAACACTGCAGTAAACAGTGAGGGTCATTGAAAAGGGAGTAAAACCCTATTAGAGATCCATGAATAAATCTGCACACAAAACATAGAAAGTGCATGCTTTTGACCGTGGAAAGACTCGCTCCGTATGGACCCCCCTCAGCTGGCGTCATCGTCTGGTATGAGTGGTCACACAGCAGATTATGTTGGACTGGAATGTCTCGATGGCTCATTTTCCTTGGATATTATAAGAACATATCAATCACATGTCGAAAGAAGTAGTTTGATGTAAATGTTGTACAAATATAAATTTAACAACAATTAATTCAAAAATAAAAAGACAGCTCTCCCCTGCGTCCTACCACTGTAAATATTAATTATGTCCTACGACCGCGGTCCGGCGGAGAGGGAGAGGCTTGACCGTAATGCATAGACTGCACATGCGCAGTTTAAAACTGAAGTTTGACTTTAAACTAAAAAGTATGACTTTCTGTAGGGATTTTTTATGGCAGAAACGGGCTTCTATACTTTGGAGCTAGGCTTATGGAGCTCTTCGCAAAAATTCACTGTGGTAGACCCGGCCGCTGCTGCCAGATCTACAAGCCTGCTCATCCTCTACTCATTACACCAGCAAAACTCCCACATCTAATCCACCAATAACCACCAGGACAGCAAGTTTAAAAGCCGGAGACGCCCACTCCCCGGCCTTCTGAAGTCTGCAAAGTGTTGTCAGCGTCTTGCACCTGTCCACCATGCGTTCTTCACCCCGTGCTCGTGCGTCCCCGTCTGCTTCGGGCTCTTCGCCTAGCTCTCTGAACGATCTGTTCGTTTCCCCCTCGCCTGTGCCCAACCGGTCCCGGAAGAGCGCGCGCCTGGCGTCCCAGGATGCTGGGTCCGTCCGCACCTTCCTCACGGCCCGTGGCGTCGTGCCAGGTCCGGATGCAACCCCGCTGCAGCTCCAGCGCCTCGTGGAGCAGCTGTCAGCGGATTCCGCCTCCCCCCCCCCAGCTCCGGACTCCCCTCCTCGCAAGCGCCGTCGCAAGGCCAATCACCTGCCGCCAACGCGTGCCTGCCCCCCTTCCTCTGCGCTCGACGGGCCCCTGCTTCCCCCGGCTTCGTCGGCCTGCCCCGTGCCCGCCCCAGCGCCTTGCCCCATCGACGTCTCCCGGGCCGCCCCCGCGGCTCCCGGCGTGCCCCCTCCCCAGCCGGATCCTTTCGCGGCAGCCTTCGCGGCCCATGTGGCAGCTGCGGCTCAGGACCGTGAATTCCTCTGCGCGCGCACGGACGCCATCCTGACGGCGGTGTCGTCTCTCCAGAGCTCGGTGGCCGCAGTGTCCGGCCGGCTCAGTGTCGTGGAATCCCAACCTCCCACCCCCGCCGTGGCTCCGGTGGCCGTTCCTGCCGCTGCGCCTCCCGGCGGCTCCCTGGACGTCGGTTTCTCCCTCTCCACGGCTGTGGCTGCTACGGCGTCCGGTAGGCCCTTTATCAATGCCTACTCAAACGTTTCCCCGCGGCTGCGGTCTAAAATATTGCTGGGACGCTACATTAATTTGGTTTCCCTCATCCTCCCCTCCCCCGAGTGTGACAGGCAGGTGGCGGCCTCCTCCCTGGTCACTGCGGTCGTAAAGACTGCTGATCCCCGCCTCTCGCGGGAGCTATCCATCGGGGAGTTTCTCGTGGCCTTCGGCGTGTACCGGGACGTCCTGTGCACCGTGTACCCCGAGCGCAGGCCCGAGCTGGACGCTTATCTGGGCCTAATGGGGGACCTGGCCCTCCGCTACGGCGGTTCACATTTCTACCGCTACCATCGGGCCTTCGCCGCCAAGGCCGCGGCCCTCGTCTCCCAGGCTAATGTCAGAGTGGACTGGGCGGTCCTGGATACGGAGGTCTTGCTGCTGTCCGTTGGAAGTGCCCCCGCGGTCTCCTGCTCCCGGTGCGGCGCGGCCGGCCACAGCTCTCCCCTCTGCCCCTCCGTTCCGTTCGACGCCGCCGCTGGTCAGTCTCCTAGGCCCCGCGCGCCTTCACTACCCAAAGCGGAGGTATATGATCAGAGCAGTGTGTGCTGTTCGTTCAACGCTGGCGTATGTACTTTTCCATCGTGCAATTATCTCCACGTTTGTACAGTAGTGTGTGCAGGGAAGCCCATCCACGTTCCGTGTGCCCCCATCGCCCCCGCCCGGGCCGCCGTTCCGGGGGGCCTTTGTACAGGCCTTGATCACCACCCACCTCTCAACCCCAGTCTCCGTGCCCGCGCTGGCCCGCGCGCTCGCGCCCCATCCTGACCGGGCCTTCGTTGACTTTCTCCTGACAGGCCTGGCCCGGGGCTTCCATGTCGGGGTGGCGGCTCTCCCCTCGGCGTCCTACGTGTCCCGCAACCTGCAATCTGCTCTCCGCGAGCCTCTCGTGGTCACGCAGCTCCTCGCGCGGGATGTGCACAAGGGCTACATCATCGGCCCCTTTTCCAGGCCCCCCTTTTCCCCGTTTCGCTCCAGCCCGCTGGGAGTTGCCACACGCAAGTATTCCGGGAAGAAGCGCCTTATATTTGATTTATCCCACCCCCGCTCCGGGCCAGTTCCGAGCATTAACAGTCTCATCCCTCTTGAGCCCTTCTCCCTGCAGTACGCCACCGTGGATCACGCAATCCGGCTGGTGAAGGCCTTCGGCCCTGGGGCCTGGCTGTCTAAATCGGACATCACGGACGCTTTCAAGCTGCTGCCCATTCACCCCGATCACTGGCACCTGTTTGGAGTAAAGTGGCGTTCCGGCTTTTATTTTGCTGCGCGCCTCACGTTTGGCTGCAGGAGCAGTCCTTCTTTATTTAATAACCTTTCTGAGGCCTTGTGCTGGATTTTGTTGAACAATCTCCGTCTCCCCTCTGTCCTTCATCTCCTAGATGACTTTCTCCTCGTCGACTCCCCCGCGGACGGCTCCGGGGACCCGCTCCGTAGGCTGAAGTCGGCCATCTCGGCCTTCGGGGTCCCCCTGCCCGAGGAGAAAACTGTGGGCCCTGCCACCGCCCTGGAGTTTCTCGGCATCCGCCTCGACACACGCGCCATGGAGGCCTCCCTCCCGCTGGAGAAGCTCCTGCGCGTGCGCGCCATGTCAAAATCTGCCCTATCCTCTCCCTCCATCACAAAACGTGAGCTGCTCTCCCTGCTCGGGCACCTCAATTATGCCATCCGCATCATTCCCCAGGGCCGCTCTTTTATTTCGCGTCTTCTCACCCTCGCGGGTTCGGTTCCCTCCCTGCACGACACGGTCACCCTGGACGACGGGTGCCGCTCCAACCTGGACTTCTGGTCGCGCTTGCTGGAGCGCTGGAACGGCGTTTCGTTTTTTTACGACGATATCGTCCGGTCCTCCGACGATCTCCGCTTCTACACGGACGCTGCCCCTTCCGTGGGTTTTGGGGGATTCTATCAGGACCAGTGGTTCGCCGGGCCGTGGCCCGCTACTTTTCCCCGGAGCATCTCCTCGGCCTTACACGAAATCTACCCCGTGGTCGTGGCCTGCGCGCTCTGGAGTCACACGTGGCGGAGAAAAAGGATCTCCGTAATGTGTGACAATCTCGACGTAGTGGAAGCACTAAACAAAGGCCGCTCTTCTTCGCCTAACATAATGTCTTTTCTCAGACGCATTACTTGGTTCTCTGTTTTAAATAATTTTATCATCACTGCACGCCACGTCCCCGGTCAACTTAATCAAATCGCTGACTGTCTTTCTCGCTTTAAATTTCAGGAGTTCCGGCGCCTCTGCCCCTCAGCCTGCACGGAGCCACGCGCAGTTCCCACCATGGACCAACTAACCCTGGACTTGTCTCACCTTCCCTCTCACACCTCCTCTCCTCTGCTTCATCCTATATGAAAAAGGGCCTTTCCCCCTCTACTCTATCTACATACAGCTCCGCATGGAGAACCTATTCCCTCTTCTGCCACGCTCACAACATCCCTTTGTTACCTCCATCCGTATCTACTGTCATAGCTTTCATAGTTCACTGCTCAGACAATCTCCATCATAAAACAACTTACATTCGTACGCTGCTCTCTGGCATTCAGTTTCAGGCCCGCTGTCACAACCCCGCCTTCTCCTCTCTTTTCTCTGAACCCTCAATTAAACTCCTCTTCAAAGGCATCAACAAATGTGCTCCCCACTCTTCTGACCATCGGCTCCCCATCACGCTGCCCATCCTGGAACAGCTCTGCACCACACTGAACTCCGGCTCTTTTTCCAAGTACACGTCTGCTCTCCTTCGCTGCGCTTTCCTGCTCGCCTTTTATGGCTTTCTCCGCATAAGCGAGTTCACCACTGCTCACTCTACGTTCAATGCGGCCCTAGACATTGCTTTTTCCGATCTGGCCTATTACCCCGACCATTTCAACCTTCGTCTCAAACATTCAAAAATCAAAGGAGCCTGCAATATAGTAATAGCTCGCTCGGACACATCTCTCTGCCCCTACAAATCCATGATGCGTTACACTCGCCTCCGCTGCAAAAAAGGAGATCTTAACGGACCTCTATTTCTCACTCCAGACATTCTTCCCATGACAGCAACCTGGTTCAGAGCTCAACTAAGATCCCTACTGCTCCTCTGTAAATTGTCTCCCCAGCTCTACACGGCTCACTCCTTCAGGATAGGCGCCGCCAGGCGCGCGGCCTCCCTGGGGCTCCCCCACACCTCTCTGCAACAACTGGGGCGCTGGTCCTCTTCGGCCTTCTCCGCCTACATCAGGCCAGACGCGTCCGCCATCCTGGCTGCACAACGGCTACTGGCTTCCTCGTAAGCTCGTAAATTGTGGTTATTTATTATTTTAATCCCGTGTGTGCTTTTAATATTTTAAGTTTTTTTTTTTTTTTTTTTTTTTTTTCCATTACTTGTGATTTTATTCTGTTTTTAATGTATTTATTGATGTCTCTGATTTGTGTGATATTATGTGGGTTGTGAGGCGCTTTGAGTGGCCGTGTGTTGGAAAGGCGCCATACAAATAAAGTTGATTGATTGATTGATTGATAAGCTCCCAGCAAAGCAATACAAAAGTAAGTGAACCAATAAGATTCTGGTGGCGGCACGCACTTTCAAAGATAACTCTGCTACAGCGTCTGGTTGATCGTGATGCGAGCGCTCACGTCCCAGGCAGCGTCCGGTTGATCGTGATGCGAGCGCTCACTTCCCGGCGCTTAAAGAGAACTCTGCTGCAGCGTCTGGTTGATCGTGATGCGAGCGCTCACGTCCCAGGCAGCGTCCGGTTGATCGTGATGCGAGCGCTCACGTCCCGGCGCTTAAAGAGAACTTTGCTGCAGCGTCTGGTTGATTGTGATGCGAGCGCTCACGTCCCAGGCAGCGTCCGGTTGATCGTGATGCGAGCGCTCACGTCCCGGCGCTCAAAGACAACTCTGCTACAGCGTCTGGTTGATCGTGATGCGAGCGCTCACGTCCCAGCGCTCAAAGATAACTAGCTGCAGCGTCCGGTTGAACGTGATGCGAGCGCTCACGTCCCGGCGCGCAAAGATAACTGCCCGTTTTTGGGGATTACGCGCGCGAGCAAGCGCCGCGCTCAACAGCATCTCTCCCGGGCCTGGGGCGCCAAGCATGCTCAATCAATAAAACTTCTAACTGCGTTTTCCCTCTTGGGTCTTTCCAAAGTGAAATGGAGCTTTTCGCGAAAATTCACTGTGGTAGACCCGGCCGCTGCTGCCAGATCTACAAGCCTGCTCATCCTCTACTTATTACACCAGCAAAACGCCCACATCTAATCCACCAATAACCACCAGGACAGCAAGTTTAAAAGCCGGAGACGCCCACTCCCCGGCCTTCTGAAGTCTGCAAAGCCTCCGCCGCCCCACCTCCTCCTTCTCTCTTCGGAGCGTGCTCGCCTGCTGCCTCTGCCGTCACCAGTGCTTAGGCCCCGGGGGGATTACGCGCGCGAGCAAGCGCC